CCCCCCCCCCATTGGGTTATCCGTGGGGCTGGCTGAGGAGTAGGCGACTCCGAGCCCAGGTTGTATACTGCTCCACGTAGCTGGTCCCACCTCCAGGGCCTGGGTTTTACAGCTAGATGGGGTGGACCAGGGGCAGGGTTGAGGTTTATAGGGGTAGGGCAAAGGTTTTGTGGCCTCTACTCTGGACTTCAGGAGCCCTAGTGACGTAGTAGTTATACATTGGGCTGCTACCCACAGGGTCAGTAGTTCAAAACCACCAGCCTCTCTGAGGGAGAAGGACGAGGCTTTGTATTCCAGTCTGGGAAACCCACAGGAGCAGCGCTCCGCTGTGCTACAGGGTCACTGTGGGTGACAGCCACTGGACAGGAGGTGGGCAGGGGGCACTGTTCAGTGTCAGAAGGCAGCTAGCTGGTCCCAGGCTTGAGCTTCGAACTCTGGAAATCCATGTTCAGAATCCCGTACTTCATGAATAGCACCCCAAGGCTCTTTCTGGAAAGCTGACGGATGTCTAGCACTCTCCCGACCCCCTCACCCCCTGCAGCCTTTGTGCCACATCTTTGTCCTGCGTGCCTTCAGGGGTCAACGGAGCCCCAGCCCACGACAGAGGACTGGACAGAATAGGGGCCAGTGGGCTGGGGGCAGATGTGGCCGCAATAGCACTCAACCTTGCTTTAGAGCCGTGGATGCATCTAAGCCTTTCTCCCTGACGCTCAAAAGCCCAAACGGAGCCTCCTGGAGAGGCCTGCACAGGTGCAGCGCAGGCTTCTGCCATAGACGCTATGGCATGTCCTTCCGCGGTCCCCCGAGAAATCCCCGGGAAGCATTTATTCGAAGAGAAGGGGTGCGTTGAGTTTCATTGCCTGCCTGTCCCCCCTTTCCTTTAACCTCACTGCCTCCCACCCAAGACTCAAGACCTCAAAGAATGAAGGGGTGGGTTTGCCGGAGCATAGTGGTTCCCAAGAGCTCAGGCATCTGAGTTACCCGGTTATCAAGCGCAAAATGGGCAGAACAGCCAAGTCAGAACCCTGCCGCCTCCTGCCCCTTCTCCTCCAAACCCATAGTCCACGCCCCCAGGTCCAAGCACACCCAGGACTGCCAGTGAAGGCATGAACCCCCGATCCCCATCATTCCATCATTGGGGCTCAAGGCCCTGATGCTTAACTGCTGGTGAGGCTGGTGGGGGCTGCTTAGATAGGAGGAGGGCCTGCTCTCAGGGGGGTCATGAACTGGCCTGAGCCAACTTTTTTTACCAAGCCTTTGGTGGCAGCCCTTCTTTACCAGCCCTATTGCCCAAGCCCATGGTGGCAGCCCCGCTTCCCCTCCCTTAGTGTACTGTCTATTCCAGTCAGGACAGCCACCTGAGACCAGGATCAAGGGACCTTTATTGAATGGGAGGAGAGCTCCTGGAGGGCCCAGCTGTATGGGAGCAGGCTCCTACTTCTGGCCGGGCACTGGGCAGCCCAGCCAGTACTGGGCGATGGAGCGTGGGTAGGGAGGGGTCACGGTGTCCACTCGCTTCGTGCGCAGGTTGACTCGGTAGTACTTAGCTGGAAGAGAGGTCGGGGAGGGGCATGTGAGGAATAGTGGCCACGAGCCCCAGGTCCTGCCCAATCCACCCCCTCCACCTGTGCCCCAAGGGCCTGGCTCTCTGGGGTCACCGCCCTGGGGCTAGACCGGTTACAGGGGTGGCAGGGGCTCCCACCTCTCGAGAAGAAGTAGACGCTCTGAATGGGCTCGCAGCTTGCAGGCACCAGCCAATCCATGTCGTAGTCATAGTAGGTGCTCAGGCCGCTCTCCTCGCTGGAGTACCAGGACAGCCAGGTGGAGCGGGACCGCCGGCGGGCCTTCTGGCTCCGGCTGCGACCACCCCGAGAGCGAGAGCGGTAGCGTTTGCGGCTGCGACCGGAGGACTTGCGCTTTTTGATCCAGGAAGAGCGAGGTGTGGAGCCGGAGATGTAGATGCGGCCAGCCATGGCGGCGTCCACCTGCCCGGGCACACCGGGCCAGTCCTGGCCAATAGACCTGGGCTCGCTGGCACCACCTGTGGCAGGGAAGGGGTTCCCGTGAGCTGGGCATTGCCCAAGGACACACAGCCAGCTAGTGGCAGAGCGCAGCTCCCAGAGACCCCAGCCCCTCTGCGTGCTTGCCCTGCTCATTCCCTTGGGTGTTTCCTCCCGCCCCCACCCCCAGGCCTTCCTAGCCCCCTCAGCCAGAGGCCTTCTGGCCGCTGTCAGTGTCCATGGCAGTGCTAGGCAAAGGTCAAGGTCTGGGGACCAGCCTGAACCAAGTCACGGCGCGGTCGGAAAGGTCAATAGAAGCAAAGTCCGGGCTGAAAAAAACAGCTCAGGATCGATTGATCAATCGATAGCTCCACAACTAGAGCCCCTCAGCCCAACCCTCCCCTTGCCCCAGACTCAGAGGCCCCCAGTCCCCTCCAGGGCAGGGTAGCGGGGTGAGAGGAAGACTTGCCCTTCCTCCTTACCAAAGGTGCCACCCCAGAAGTCTCGCTTAAAGACGTCAAGCCAGCCATCACGCTGCATCAGGGCAAAGTGCTCGAACACGGCTGAGGGCAAGCTGTCTTCACACTCCTTGTGGCTGGGCTGCTGCTGGAACTCGTACTCCCAGTACTGCTTGCCTGGGGAGCCGGGCAGCTGCCATCAGGAGGACACCACCCAACCCGAGGCCTGTCCCGGGGGAAGCACAGACGTGGTGTCCCGGAGCCTGCTCCATGGGCTGATCAGTCCCCCACCCGGCCCCCCAGTACCCTTGAAGAAGTAGACCCGCTCCCGGCTGCTGTAGCTATGGGCAGGGAGGGCAAAGACTGCATCTAGGTTGTCCGGAATGCCCGTGAAGCCATCAGAGATGTTTCGGGGATAGTTGGGGTCCAGGACGCCGTCCTCGAAGCGCCAGTACTGGCTACCCTAAGCGACAGGGTGGGTGGAGAAAGGTGAGAAGGGCACCGCACAGAGCCCCCAGCCCCAAGGCAGGTATCCCCGTGCCAGGCTTGTTAACCGGGACCCGGAGCCTCTAGCTGCTCTATCTCACAGAGGCCTCACCCTGGGTCCCGCTGGCCTTCCTGGCCACCGCAGCTCTAAAGCCTTTGCTCCAAACCCTGTACCCTGCGGCACAGCCCCTGGCCTGGCACCTTGAAGAAATAGGTCTTCCCCTGACAGTTGATTCGCGTGAAGGCGGCATCAATGGGACCCTCGATGCCCCAGACGTCTCGGATGAGCTTGGGGTACCCAGGCCTCACTGCCTTCTCGTCCAACTCATAGCAGTACTGCCCTGGAGTCGTCAGAAAAGCTCAGTGAGGGAGGAGACCTTCCCAGGGCACTTCCCCCTCTCCCCCGCCAAGGCCTGCCCTTGGAATCACCTCGGAAGGCAAAGATGGACCCATTCTTGAGGTCAGTAAAGGCATCAAAAGGCATCTCGTTGCACAATTCCTCCTCTGCGGGGAACTCAGAGATCTCTGGGTCCCTGGTCACAGGCTCTAGAGTCCCCTCCTTAGGCCCTAGGTTCCCACTCTCTGGCTGTGGAGTAGCCTCTTGGAGCACTGAGGTCACTTTCTCAGGTTCAGCGCCCAGAAGAGGGGTCATCTCCGTGTGCCTGAGCAGGTCGGAGTTCTGGGTGGGGATCTCTGATGGCGTGTGGGAGTCGTTGTGGTCTTTGGCGACCACCGAGTGGTCGCCATAGATTTGAAATTCAATATAGTCATCCTCCGGCAGAGTGAACACGTCCCCCCGAGTGACTGCAGACAGAGAGGGGACAGGAGTCTGCAGCTGCAGGGGGCACCCAGGCCCACCCCCTGCTCGCACCCTTGATCCCCCCACCCCACCTCCCCATGGCTGTGCACGCACCTTGGGGTTTGCATTCGGCCACGTAGTCGGGGCAGCAGCTCTGGTAGTATGAGCAGAGCTCATCACACTGACACTTCTGGTTCTTGTTGAAACCCTCCGTGCAGCGGCCCTTGCAGGACTCTGGGGGGTGGGGGGAGGAGGTGCCAGATGTCCAGATCAAGCCCAGCTTACCTTGCCCACCCACACTGGCCCAGATGGCTACCCACATCCCTCGGCACCTTGGTCGGCCAGAACCGCCCAGGTCAGCAGGGCCAGCATCAGAAGGAGTTTGTGGGGAGCCATGGCAGGGCCTCCGGCCATGGGCCTGGTGAGCTGGTCTCTGAGCTCCCTGAAGTCCCAGCTGTGCTGCTGGAGGAAGGGAGGAAGGGAGAGGAGGAGACTGGGAGGGAGGGCCTGACAGAGGAGGAGCTGCCCTCTCTGTGGTCTGTTTGCTCTGTAAAGGGTCACATTCCAGAAGCCTGGGCCAGGAGAACTGGGAAATGAGGTCTCTGCCAGTGTCAGGAGGGTCTGGAGGGCAGAAAGAAGCACTGCTGTATGCCTTACTGCCTGTGTGATTGCACTCAAATCACTTGACCTCCCCAAGCTCTGTGTGTGTGGTTTTCCCCCCCAGTAAAATGGGACTCATCATAATTGCTTCGTGGGGTGTTGGGAGGTAGCACGAGCCAGAGAGACAAATGCCCAGTGCCAGCCTTGTTGTGAGGTGCCATCGAGTGGGCGCTGACCTGTAGTGGCCCTATCCACAACAGAACACACACTTGCAGGGCCCTGCACCTCCCTCACGGTCGGAGGCATTAGCCCTACATTTACACGCCATAAATGGTTATTGATCCATGATTGGTTTGATCAGGCGCAGCCCTGGATGGGTGGCTAATGACTCTGTTATATATTTAGTGCAGTTGAAAGAGTGGGAGGAGAAAGTTAGCACTCTAAGGAATTTCTTTTTTTAATCACGAAAGCACCGAGTTTCATTTCTTGGTTCTCCTCTCAGATGCATTGATTTTCCAAGCTGGTTTTCACAGCACAGGGCACTAGGTGAATATTAACCCAGCACACTGGATTTCTTTCTGAGTCTTCCCTGATGGTACATTCACGGACGGTGGCTGTTCTTGTGCCCAACCCTCGTTCCCCTGGATGTGAAGAGTGGGGGCCCCTAATTCAGCACACCTTTAGATTTTCAGATAGGCCCTATGCCCAGAAAATGCCCACTGTTTGCTTTCGTGAGTCATTTCAGGGAGGTGGGGGTCTCACAGGCCTACTCAGATCCAACTCTTGGCTAGAGCAAGGGTCCGCAAACTTTTGAGATGGAAGAGCCAATCCTGTCCCTCACAACCATTTAAAAATTATAAACATATTTTTACAAACAAATGAAGCACATTTGAAAACAAACAAATGATATCACCATGATCTGAATAACTTTTAAAAGTGTATACATGAAACCATGACCATTTTATTTTCATTTTCAACCTTGCTTTAGAATCGCATGTGCATGTGGAAAGAGCCACATTTGGTTCCCAAGTTCCAGTTCGCCAACCCCTGGAGCTTCCAGCTGACTTGTTCCATACTGTAGTGAGAGGCGTGCACTGTGGGGGGCACTTTCTTTGTGGACTGTCACTTCCGCTGTACAACGGGAGCATTAACCCTGTCCCATAGAAAGGTTATGAATCTTAAATGATGGGGGGGGGGAGCATAAAGGGGGCTTGAGCATTGTATAGAGCCAGGATTCTGACTGTGCTAACCACTAGTAAGGTGCACTGGCGGTATAGTGATTAACCCTGGGCTGCTAAACTACAAGGTCAGCAGTTTGAAACCACCGGCCTCTCCGAGGGAGAAAGACAGGACTTTTTACTCCTGTCAAAAGCCACAGACTCAGAAACTCACAGGGGGCAGTTCTACCCTGTCCACAGGCTCACTATGGGTCAGCACTGGCCTGATGGCAGTGAGTTGAGCTCCTCGGTGGCCCAAATGGTTGCGTGCTGGAGGACTAACTAACTAAAAGGTTGGTGAGTCAAATTCACCTACAAGTGCCTTGGGGGAAAGGCCTGGCAACCTTTGCCGGAAAGGTTGCAGGCTGGAAAACTCTGTGGCACACAGCTCTGTTCTGAAACACATGGGGGTCTCCACGAGTCGGATCCACTCCAGGCACCCGGCTTGGTTCTGGTACCACTGGAAAGGGGAGAGGAACCTGATGGCATGTTGTGGTTGCCACCCACCTAAAGGTTGTTGATCTGCACCCACCCAGCATCTCCACAGAAGAAAGGCCTGGGAAACTACTTCCCAGAGAACCCAACCCCGGGGGTGACTCCGGTGTTACAGAGTGGAACTGCTCAGCAGGGTTTTCTTGGCTGTCCCGGTGGCACAGTGGCTAAAACAAGAAGAAGAAAACTTTCCCTGAGACTGTTCCAACTCATAGCTACCCTACAGGACAGGGTAGAACTGCCCCTGTGGGTTTCTGAGACAGTGGTTGAAGTACTAAGCAATAGGTCACTTGCCCCACAGTGAGGCATGGGGGTCAGCTTCTAAAAAGATGCACCGCCTTGGAAAGGCTACGGGGACGCTATGGGTCATAATCCGATGGACGGCAATGGGCTTCGACAGGAGCAGCCCGCCAGCCCTTTCTCCTGTGGCCCCACGAGGTAGGCTTGAACTTCTAAGTTAGCAGCTGATTGCAAAACAAAACCACCCACGGAGCGGTTCTATTCCGTAACACACACGGGGCATGAGTCGGGGTCGTCCCAGGGCAGCTAAGGAATACCAAGGGCAGAAGCACAGTCAGGGAGCCAGGTTTCAACTTCTGGGAAAACGTGGGGCAGTCCTCTGGCGCTCACCCTCTGGGCCCTGCGCCCGGCAGGGAAGAGGCGTGGCCAGCGTCTGGGCGTGGCCGGTCAGGCGGAGAAGGAGGAGCCCTGCGAGCCAAGGGGTGGGGCTTCGGCCGAGGTCCGCGGCGGCTGCGGGGCGGCGCTCTGCAGAGCAACTCCGAGCCCGCTGCAGCGCAGGCCGAGCCCCAGCTGCGCTGCTTTGTTTCTGGCCACAGCTTCTCGGGCCCACCGGCGTCTGGGTGCTACCCTCGCTCCCTCCTCCCGCCCACCCCCTGCATCTGGGTCCCCACCCCCTTCCCCAGCCGCTCTGCCGGGATCCTGCGCTCCTCCTCCCCCAAACACCAGGCTTTGCCGTGAACCCTTCACTCCATCCCTTGCTCCGGAATCGCCCACCGTCTTCCTCTCGGCCTGCTCCTCGGGGTCTCCCCTCCCCTCCGCTGCCCGCGCTCTCGGGGGTCGCCCCGTCCGACCCCGCCCCGCCAGACCGGGAATGTCCCCCGCCGCCCCGCGCCTATGGTGCTGACGCTGCTCTTCTCCGCCTACAAGCTCTGCCGCTTCTTCGCCATGTCAGACCCACGGCCCGGAGCCGAGCGGCTGGCGGTGCCGGGAGCGGCTGGGGGCGGCGGCTCGGGCCCGTGGTGGACGGCAGGGGGCCGCGGGCCCCGCGAGGTGTCGCCCGGGGTGGGCGCCGAGGTGCAGAGCGCCCTGGAGCGCGCGCTGCCCGAACTGCAGCAGGCGCTGTCCGCGCTGAAGCAGGCGGGCGGCGTGCGGGCCGTGGGCGCCGGCCTGGCCGAGGTCTTCCAGCTGGTGGAGGAGGCCTGGCTGCTGCCGGCCGTGGGCCGCGAGGTGGCCCAGGGACTGTGCGACGCCATCCGCCTGGACGGCGGCCTCGATCTGCTGCTGAAGCTGCTGCAGGCGTCCGAGGTGGAGACGCGTGTGCAGGCCGCTCGAGTTCTGGAGCAGATTCTGGTGGCTGAGAACCGGTGAGGGCGCCGCGTTGAGGGGACAGTGCCGAGGGGTGTTGGACGGGGTGGGGTGTGGGGTGGGAGTGGTCAGGGCCGTCGAGGAGCTAGGTCGGCGCTGTACTTCACTGCTACGCCTTACCTTGCTGCAAGCCCCTGCATGTTAGACGTTAGCATGCCCATTTCACAGATGGGAAAACTGAGGCTCGGAAATTTAACTCGGCATCACAGAGTGAACTAATGGTGCGGCCAGGGCTAGTGAGCTAAGGGCCTGGGTCTGGAAGAAGGAGGCAGGAGTAGGCCCTACGTGTCCCAAGTCCTATGGGTGGAGATGGCATTGCGTTACTAATACACGGGCATGTACTAATGCCTCTAAACCCACCACTCTCCCCTACCGGGGCCCGGGGGACATGGGATGCCTTCTCTGCCCATACCCTGCACACCCTGGGAGGGGACGGGGACAATGCTCCGGTGGGTGTCCTCTTCCCCTACCGGTCTGCTGAAATGAGTACTGGCATAAGGGCCTCTTACATCACCCCCATTCCACCGCTTGCTTTTTCCTTCTGGTTCACATTAGGGAGCAGACATGATCTCATTCTGTGGCTGCTGATAGGAAGGAAGCAGACGGCTTTCTGTGGGGATGAGTGGGTGAGGGAAGAGGAAACTGAGGCACGAGCTAGTCTCAACAAAACAGAGTATATGTTTCCTCCCCTTCCCTACCTATTGCCACGGGACAGCACTAAACTGGAGTCAGCTCTGACTCATGACCTCTCGGTGTATTCCAAGTAGAACTACACTCCATGGAGTTTTTGGCGACTAGTTTTTCAGAAGTAGATCACCAGGCCTTTCTTCCAAGGTTCCTCTACGTGGACACCAACTTCCACCTTGCCAGCTAGCACCTCCCTCTGCCCCCCCGCCAGTAACGTGGGGTCAAACTAAGGTCTGGTGGTCACTCCCTTGCCTGCCTCTTGGGATCAACCCTGGAGTATAAAATCCCTGAGGACTCACTGGCCCTCCCTCTGATGCCAGGGCGGACCAGACCGCCGCACTCCAGTCTCACACTGAACTCTCCGGTCCTGGTGGTGCTTTGGATTGTTAAGCCCAAGGTCAGCAGTTCAAACTCACCAGCCACTCCATGGGAGAATGGTGAGGTTTTCTCCTCCCATAAAGATGTACAGTCTTGGAAACCCGGTAGATAAGGCCGCGAATCCACTCATGGCAGTGAGTCTTGTCTGAGTCAGGTTAGAAGGTTCTGGAAGAGGTACTTGCAGCTCGCGGTGCCCTCATGCTGTGTGATGAGATGGCAGTGGGGTAAGGGCACAATTCCTCACTGTTTTTAAAATGAAAACAACACAAGTTCAATTATACACCAATGGAACGATTTAGGTTGAGAGGTCAAGTTAGGAATCTACTAGTCCTTAGCCTCCCACTTAGCAATGATGCTGTGAATTTAGAGGGCGAGCAAGTGGAGTGGGTGCTTACTGGGTGTGGTGGGATCCAGATCCCGTGGAGGCAGGGTTATAACCAGATCATCTGAGTAGTAGGTGCAGCTGCACCTCAAAACA